GTTAGGAAATGCAAATTCACAGCCTACCTGGACTACAATGTGAGTTCAAGGCCAACTTGGGTAATATTGAGACTTTGTCTCAAGAAGAAAATAAGAAAGACATGCAGCCGGGCGTTGGTGGCGCACGCCTTTATCCCAGCACTTGGGAGGCAGAAGCAGGTGGATCTCCGTTCAAGGCCAGCCTGGTCTACAGAGTGAGTTCCAGGACAGGCTCCAAAACTACAGAGAAACCCTGTCTCGAAAAACCAAAGGAAAAAAAGAGAGAGAAAGAAAGAAAGACATGGAAGGAAGGGAAATGGAGAAGAAACAATGAAAGAAAACAGAAAAGTAAGGAAAAGAAATAGGTGTATAGTCCTTAAGAAGCCAGTACTATTAAAATTTTAATTATATAGCTCTAGAAGTGAAAACTGGTTGCCAGGTATAGTAATATATTAGTAATCCTCAAGTAAAAGTGTACAGTATTGTCCTAGTATTGCAAAAAGTGCCCTAGTAAAGCAACAAATAATTAAAAGAATTATTAGAGCCAGTGAAATGGCTCAGCCTGTCAACCTGAGTTTGATTTCTAAAACTCATACTGACTGCCAGAGCTGTTTTTTTTTTCTCACTACACACACACACACACACACACCAGGATGGGGGTTACAAGTAAGGAGCTCTAGAGATAGCTCAGTGGACAACAGCACTCTTGCCAAGGACATAAATTCAGTTCTCAGCACCCCCTAAGGTATCTCACAACACTCTGTAACTCCAGCTCCAGGGGAACCCTACAGCCTCTTCTGGCCCCTAAAGGCACTGCACACACATGAACAGTTCTATAAGTTGCACAATAACTTAACAGTATACCACTCTTTATCAATTTCTTTGTGTATTGATGGGGATGTTCTTCTGTATATATGTTCCTCTTATTGGTTGATGAATAAACACTTATTGGCCAGTAGCCAGGCAGGAAGTATAGGCAAGGCTACCAGATGAGGAGAATTCTGAGGAGAGAGAACAGAGAGGAGTGGCCAGAGAAAGACGCCATATAGCAGCCAAAGGAGTCACATGCTGGAACATTTATGGGTAAGCTACAGCCTTGTGGCAATACATAGTTTAATAGAAATGGGTTAATAATTAGGAGAGAGCTAGCCAATAAGAAGCCTGAGCCATGGGCCACACAATTTATAATTAATATAGTCTCTGTGTGTTTATTTGGGGCTAAATGGCTGTGGGGTCAAGAGGGGAAGAAATTCTGTCTAGTGTCTGTTTTATTAGGCTTTTTGAGACAGAGTCTTTAGTCCAGGCTAACGTTAAACTTCCACCTCTGTTGCTTGGTAACTCCACCAGAGAACATACACAGTTAAGGACCCAATCTGCTCTTGATGACCAGTCAAATTGGAACAACAAATTTGTTGTGCCCTCCGTGTGTGTGTGTGTGTGTGTGTGTGTGTGTGTGTGTGTGTAAAACTAGATCTATCACACACATTTCTCAGTACTTAATCTGGTGACCTAAAATCCTGGGCCCCTTTCCATAATGTGTGCAGGCAGATTTTTCTGTTCCTCCTGCCAGCTCCCAAATTACTACACAGGGAATTCTTATTAATTATGAAAGCTCAGCAGATAGCTTTGGCTTGTTTCAAACTAGCTCTTACAACTTAAATTTACCCATTTTTTTTTTTTTAATCTAGTTGCTGATCCAAGGCTTGTTTACCTCAGCTTTGTACTGCCCATCTTGCTTGCTCTGCATCTCATGGCATCTCTGCTCTTCTTCCCAGCATCTTCTCTGTCTGGAAATCCTGTCTAGCTATTGGCTGGTCCGCTTTTTATTGAACTAATCACAGTGACAGATCTTTACACAATGTAATCAAATATCTCAGAACAACTGTGGGCTTTGATAAACTCTTTTCTGCACACCGACGTGTGAGACTCTGAGTTTTAGGATGGCAGAAAATTTTCAAATGATATTCTAAATAAAACTACAACAAATGTTAACATAGGTTCATACTTATTCCTGACTTGACAATCCTCTTAGAGGTTGCAAAATTAAAAGGAAAAAATATTTTAGAAAAAAAGGAAAACCTGTAGAAACTTTGTAGATTTACTTGCTTTTGGTTACTTGCTTGAACTACCAATTTTACAGATCACATAACTAAGCAAATATAGGCAGATAAATGGATAGATACATGTAGTTTTACTTTCTCATTAGCACCGCCAGTCTGCAAATAATGACATGGAGACTTCTTATTAATTATGAAAGTTTGGCCATTAGCTTAGGCTTGTCCTACTAGCTCTTATAACTTAAACCAACCTGTTTTTACTAATCTATGTTTTCCACGTGACTTGGTTACCTCTACTCTGTACAGTATGTCCAACCCCTTCAGTGTTTCCCTGGCATCTCTCATGCATCCAAATCTCTTCTCTTCCTCTCTCTCTTTGGAAATCCCATATATCCTCTCCTGCCTCGTATTGGACATTTGGCTCTTTATAACACCAATCACAGCAATATATCTTCACATGGTGCACAAGTATTCTACAATAGATAAATGGATGGATAGATAGATAGATAGATGAATTAATTTATTTAATTAATGCAAATGCAAACTTTGTGATCAAATATCTCCAACAATGGATCTTATGGAGTCATTTTCTCAATTGAGGTTCTCTCCTTTCAGACGGCTCTACCTTGTGTCAAGTTGTTATAAAACTTTCCAGGACATAATTGTGTCTCAGGGATCTTGTTTATAAGATAACTGATGTTTCCCCATTCCTCCCTAAAAGGCCATCTGCCACAGGCAAAAGGATATCTACTGCCCATAATTGGTTTGATTGGGGCAGGCACAGACTCCCTCCCAGCATGCTGGGCTCAGGGACCCTGGTCTAACAAAGATAGGAAAAATCTTCTGAGAGGAGGAATATGCCCTTAAACTTTTAGGAGCCCTATAAAACTCATTTGCTTTCCCCTGTTAGGCTGCTGTTCTCCACACGCATGAGATAGCCCAGCAGTTTGTTCCCCAATAAACTTTTTTTTTTCTACCCATGAAGTGGTCTTTTCCAGTGAATTCACTACACTCCCTTAAAGGTGCTGGAGGTGAGCCCATCACCCCTATCTCATCCTCCTTCCCATTGCCTGAGACAAAAGTTTAATGGCATACAAGTGGTTGTCTTGAAAGAACTTGGACATTTGATGACTGTGGAGCTAGTATCCTCGCCCTGCAATGCTTTCCTCCTTTTCTCAACAGGGAAGAATAAACTTTTAGAATATTAAGTAGCACATTTCCTTATGTCATTTCATATATACTTACTTGGTTTTGACTAGCTCTTCTCACTGTCCCCATCCCCACTTCAACCCTTCCCTCCTCAGTATCTGCATATCATAAATGTTTGCAATTTAAAATATGGTCTTTGTATCCCCCCCTTTTTTTCTGTGTTTTCGAGACAGGGTTTCAATGTATTGCTTTGGAGCCTGTCCTGGAACTTGCTCTGTAGACGAGGCTGGCCTCGAACTCACAGAGATCCACTTGCCTCTGCCTCCCAAGTGCTGGGATTAAAAGCGTGCACCACCATCGCCCTGCCATATAGGAGCATTTTAAAAACATGTTCTAACTGCCTGAGCTCAGGATTTCCGCACTGTCACTGATGTTTGTAAAAAATGCCCCTGATGAACTGTGCAGCAGATTCTGAGAACTACTGAGCTGCTCCTTTTATATCAAGCTCTTGGCACTTGGCTGGGCTGTGG